ATTGGAAAAATATATTTTACTACCTCTGTTTTATTTTTGGTGCCTTTGTTTACCATTTGTACATTGCCAGGAGTGTTAACAACTTCTAAGATATGTAAAATTATTCTCCCAAATAGATAAATTTCTATCATGACAAGGACTAAGGAAGTTCTTGGAAACAAGAAATAAAAAGAGGGAATTGACTGAGAGATGAAATTAAAACTTTCTTTGGGTTGTGCATTTTTTTTCCTAAGTTCTGTTTTGTCTATGGAAATGTGTGAAGCAAATTTGCAAGCGAAAGGAAAAGAGGGAAAAAAAGTTTCTGTTATATAGATTAGTATAAAAAATAACTGGAAATGAGCATAGAAGAACAGAACTATGAAGAACAGAAACATAAAGCTGGCTAGAACAAAAGCATGAGAGGATTAGTGTGGACAAATGTGTGCAGAGGACCAGAGGCAGAGGCATGCAGAGAACTTGATGAAAATCCCTGCTACTCCATGACTGCCCATTACATTGGCATTTCTGCAGTATGTCACTTTTCGTTATTCAGGTACTTTCAGGCTTTATTCCTAATTATTTGCAATTTTACTGCCTTTAAAGAGCCTTGCACTTCTTTTTTCTTTTTTTTTTTTGAGTCAGTGAAAGGGCTAAAGCAGATGTATTGAAAGTGCATTCTTTTGCCAAGCTGCAGCAGACAGATGTCTGTCATAAGGCTTGATTTACTACAGTTTTAATTCTTTGTCAAATTCCAAGAGTGGTTGAAAGATACTGGATCTTCTGTAATTGCTAGCTCCATGTGCTATACTTAAATTTATACCCTGAAAAGGTTACAAGGGTCTATTTCCTTGTAAATAAAATAGTGTATCCTAAGTAAAAGAATCATCAAAAAGCAGTGTGTAATTGCATGTAAGTTTGCACCAGAATTGTCCATCCCTATTTTGGCCTATCTTTTCTGATGATCTTGTAACCCAGAACTAGTACAGACAGTATCTTTTATCAGAGAAGTCCTTAAGGAGGGTCAGCTCTACTCAGCTGGTGAAAGATGAACCCTATTGCACAAAGTAATATTCAGGGGAGTGCCTCCTAACATACTTGGGGGGAAAGACCATGGCTGAGTGAGGAAATGTAACCTAACTGGTCTTGGCAGAGGGAGGAGAGACCTGCTGCCTCCTTCTGAACCTCCTTCTGTTTTCTGGAACTTATCCCCGAGGTAGCTTGGAATGTGCCAGCATTTCCTTGAGTTTGTCTGCCTCTGTGGAGTCTCTATTTACACATTTTAATTTTGGATAATGCTGCTCCTTAGTGGTATATCTTGAGTTTTCTCCTCTGTTAGATATTTCAGTCTGCTATGTTTTACTGTAGCAAAAAAACGTACCATTCTGACTCACGTAGCAGCAGTCTAGACTATGACTCTAGCTGGGTCCTCTGTTGGGTCCTGAGACACTGACTATTGGGGTCAACATTTATTTTGTGCAATATTTTACTGTGTACTAGTTCCTGAAAAGTCCTTAAAATGACACTTGAAGTATTATTTTAAGCATTTTAATATTAGTCAACATCTAGAGGAAAAAATATATATGGTATTACTTATTAAGTATTTATTTGACATTTGTCTTATTCTTCTTATCTGATATTAGAATCAACACCCTGAATAATTATTACAGGGTTGGACCATGCTGAAGGTTTCTGCACTGCTTCTTTCAAAAATCTTTACAAATACTAGTAGCTACAGCTCTGTAAATGTTGCTGGTTCCTTCCCCACTGCATGAGTTGGTTTTCCTAAGGAGTCATACCTAGGAATCAGCTTGATTATTAAATAGCATCAAGCCTCATGCTCGTTGCCAATAACAAAAATGCTTTCCTATCAAATCTGCGCTCCTAGCTCTTTTGAATACCCACTGTTGTTGCTGAGTATGAGAATATTTTTAGAATCTGTTTAAAATTCAGAATCCTGGAATGTAATGTTTACAGAAGTTTAGTATGACAAATAACTTGAAGCCTTTCATAAACTTCATGTGTGTATTTGATGGATCTCATTTATAGTTTGCATTGGCTTTATGTTTGTGTCACTCCACTTACTGGAGTGGGATTCCTATGGATTTGAGCTGGTGGATTAAGAGGAAGACTGAGCTTTATATCTGAGCAGAATCTGTGGTGTGCCTCTGGATTGCTTCAGAAAGCTGCAGCATTGGTGGTGAGAAACAAGGGCTGCTGAAAAAGGATAATTTTTAGTGTGGTGGGTTGATCCTAGCTGATCACCAGCTACCCACCAAGCCACTCCATTCCCCCTCCTTTGCTGGAATGCAGGGGAGAAAATAAGATGGAAAAATGTCATGGCTTCAGATAAATGCAGTTTAATAAAGAAAAAGCAAAGGTCATATGCAGAAGCAAAAGTAAACAAAGTACTCTCTATTCCCCATCAGCAGATGCTGACCAAGCTCTTCCCAGGAAGTCAGGTTTCAGGCTCCAGTACATATAGCAGTTGCTCCATAGGACAAATGTGGTAACAAATGGTCCCTTTCCTCCTCCTTTTTCTTAGCTTTTATTGCTGAACAGTGATCAAGTGGTATGGAATATTCCTTTGGTCATTTTGGGTCAGCCTTCTGACTATATCCTCTGCTAAGATCTTGCCCATCCACAGCCTCCTGGGTGAGTGAGGGAATGTTGGAGAGAGCCTTTGTGCTGTGCATGCCCTGCTCAACAGCAGCAGAAATAATGGTGTGTTATCAACACCTTTCTGGCCACCAATACAAAGTGCAGCGCTATGAGGGTTGCTATGGAGAGAATGATGTCAGTTAGATCCAACAAATTTAGGTACAGTAATGACATCATGTCACCTGTGAGGATCTGGGATGCTGTGTCTTAGGTGCTACAGCATTGCCCCAGGGACAGCCAAAGAAACACAGCCTTGCTGAGGCTGGCTCCATCTGTGCATTCACAGGACATGCTGGGCAACTGCTCAGCTAAATCTGTGCCTTTGGTAATAAAGTGTCCCCTTACTGCTCAAATATACATCTGTTCATATTATCAATGAACAATAGACATGCAACTGCATGTCTCAAATTACATTTGGGGATTATTTTATTATAAATTGAAGAGAAAAAAATAAGCAAAAGCAAAGCAAAATAAGCTTGGTCCATATTTTCATTTTATCAGTATTTTTTTTCTTTAAGAAACAAAAACTATCTCATCCCAACAAACTCTGAAACTAAGGATCTTTGGGGCTTTTTAAAATCCTGTTTCTTTTAGTCATGGTTTTCTAGACAGGGAGAATTATATGCCTTCTTGCTCTCTATGAATGCGTTTATACAGATAAGTTTTTAATCGTGACAAGGAACTACAGAGCTGTAATGTCTTGGCTTGGTAATACTTCTGTGATATGCCTGTGTAAACAAAATACTTTAGCAGTGATGGTTCATGAGACATTTTGGAAAGCTGAATGAAGAAGTACTGACTTACCAGATTCTTTTCTGTGTTTGCAGGTCATTTGTCACCTCTGTAACTTTCCTGGCACAAGTCCTTGTATTTACAACCTGCAGACTAGTGCTGACCATGTCAGAGGCACTTCAAAGCATACTTTAGAACAAATGTTGTTAGCTTTAAGTCCTGCATAAAATTCAATGCTCTTGAACAATTTCATTGCAGGACATTGGATAGTACCTACTATTTTAATATTAGCATTTAGAATGTGGGTAGTTCAGGAGGATTTACTTTCTTGTGAGGTATATCTAATAATTGTATTTTGTGAGCAGCTGTACAACTTGGCAAGAACAGCCGTCTACAGACAGATAAGGAAAATGTAATAAAAGTTGAAGTTCTTCATACATTCAAAGTCACATAAGAAATATTACATGATGCTGAAATTACTTTTGCTCATTTCACTTGAAAAACCACTGAAAGAAACACAGGTAAGCAAGATTAGTTAGCTTAGCTTTCCAGAAAGAAGCATAGTCTTTTTTGGATCTTGACAGCATCTTCAAACCTAGAGTTGAAGTTGATTTTGATTTTAACATAATAGCATCTGACTTTAAATGATAGGGGAGATAAAAACATATAATTTTAATGCTATCTCATGCCTGGTGCTGATTATAGATGTCTATAAAGTTCATATTTACATACTGGGTTTGGGACCTAGTAAGCTTGCTTTGCTTTGAATTTCTGCTTTGTATGTTCTCATTTGTTGTGATATGGTTTGACTGAGAGAGACCAGGAAATTATTCTTTCAGAGTAATAGTACATGTGGTTGTGGGGGGGTTTCACCACACAGTATTGAATATGCTTCTTCAAGCAACCCCTTTTTGTGGAAAGGAATTATAATGTCAATTATAGTTTGCAAAAAATGTTTAGGACGTTTTATTTCCTGTTGAGTGTGTTTTTACTAGGCAGAGCCTACCGTGAAGAGCTGGTAGAAGTGCATAAATGAAAACATATCTCTCCCCTGCTGGAAGATTTGGGTTTTTTGCCAGCAGCTGTGTTTATCAATTCACTAATATGATTTCCTAGTAAAAGTCATAATTAATTTGGTCAGTTAATGAAGACAGTTCTGATTTATGCTGGTGCATCAAAAAAAAAAAAAATTGTAATTTTTATTAGAAATGTTAAATGGCTATTTTGGCTATGCTGCATGACCTGGATCTTACATAGATGGCACAGCAGAAGATACTGAAATTGATAGCTCTACAACTCCATTACAGTACTGCTTTTCAGAGGATTTTTCTTAGCAGGTTTTATAAAATTAGAGTGTGTGTATGTGTGTATATGGACAAGGAGAATGGCATTGCTATCAGCACGTCTTTTCCTCAGGGCCTTGTTAGCAACAAAATTTGCAATGTGGATATACAACCATAAAAACTGCAGCAGAATGTCCAAGGACACTTTTCCTAAATAATCTACACAAGTGACTTCCAGCATACCAGAATTTGAAGAATTGGACTCCTTCCTTCTTCTCTTTGTTTTTTTTTTTTTTCCTCTTACACTCTGGTTTCAGTAGACTAATATGGAAATACTCTGTTTTGCAGACAAGAAGCCCAAAGCTGTCCCAGAGCCCACAGCCCAATTTGGGTGACCACACAGAACACCTCTCTGAAGCATCTGCTGATTCCTTAGAGGCCATGTCTGAAGGTGATTCTCCAACCCCCTTCTCGAGGGGCAGCCGCACGCGGGCAAGTCTTCCCGTTGTGCGGTCAGCAAACCAAACAAAGGAAAGATCACTGGGTAAGAGCCTGCTCCGGTCCTTCTCCATTCTGTGTTTAGTCTGTGTTTTCTATTTGTGGATTTAAAACAATCTTTAAACGGTTTGGGGTTTAAAAAGTAAAGACTTTGGTAGCACATTATTTTTCATGTCAGGTTGTTCTTGGGAAATGAACTCGGTTTGGGATACTGAGCAACTTGAGGGAATGGTGAAATTATTTTCGTTAGATCTGAAAGTGTGATTGGGAGCATGGTAGAAATGCAGGGAGAGAGATGCAGGCCCTGACATGAAATGCTGAGTAATGGTTAAAACCCACTGTTGTGAACACTTCCTGCCAAGCCTGCACAATATTTGGCGATGAACTTACAAGATTGTACCCTCATTTTCAGACAGCAGACACAGGTTTTTCACTTTGTCATCTCTTCAAAGCCAGACTTAGTTGAAAGAAACCTAGAGATATTATTGCCTTTGTAATCCATCTTACTGAAAAGGTTTGTATTTGTGTGGTGATAGGTTTCTGGGCTGAGGATTTGAATGGATATGCTGACGGAGATGCCCTTTACTTTGGGGCAGTGCCCTTCCTTCTGCAGAGTGACACGAGAGATGTGTCAGCACAGGTGGACAGCTCTGCTTCCTGCATTTTTTCCATATCTCAGGGTTGAATTCAGCCCAGCTGTGAACCAGAGCTCCTTTTATGATGGTGAATTTAGCCTCAGAGACTCTGCTCAGCTGATGGATGGTAGGAGTAAAGGCTGTTCTTTGGAGGGAAGACACCAGAGGGCAGTTAAAGCGTTGTGGGAAAACACGTAACTCATCTGTGGGTTGCTGAGGAAGGCAGGTTTTGCTCATAGGTAGTAAACTGAAATGCTGCTTTCCTGTAGGCTCATTTCCCAATATAGAGAGCGACATAAATTGAAGACTGGACTGTAAATCATACCATGCTTGTAAGCTTGTAAGTCACGGTGGTTTACTTGTCCCTCAATAATCTAAGGCAATTTCTGTCAAGAGTATTATGATATCTGACAAACACAGCAAATGTGAAGAAAACAGGGCTGGAAGGTGTCCCTTACTCACCCACAGCTGAAAAGTGAAGAGCAGTGGGTCTGGAAACAAGGAGTTGATCCTTGTTCATGTCATGGACAAATGGCTGCTCTTCCACAGCCTGCTGGGCCACCAATATGTTGGGCTTTTGGAAGAGAAATTTGTGATACTTCAACTTGGATAAGACTTTTTGCTTTTGAGGTGTTTTTAAGAGCACATGTATGTTTACTGTACATGCACTATTATTTTTACGATACTATACTATACTGCCTATAAGTCACTGCTGGCTAGAGTATGGCTTACTTCACCCCAGGATTTTCTCTAAAACTTATATTTGCTTCAATGTGATGTTAAGTGGTTGAACTTTTGGAACTCACAGTCCTGCCCCACTGTGTGGGCTGAGGACCCCAGAGCTGGATGCAGCACTGCAGGTGGGGTCTCACCAAAGCAGAGCAGAGGGCAGAATCCCCTCCCTTTACCAGCTGCCCACGCTGCTTTTGATGCAGCTCAGGGCACGTTTGGCTCTCTGGGCTGTGAGTGCACATGGCTGGGTCATGTGCAGCCTCTCACCCATCAGCAGCCCAAGCCCCTCTGGGCAGGGCTGCTCTCACCCTGTTCATCCCCCAGTCTGGTGTTAGTACACATAACACATAACATTGCCCTGACTCAGGGCACCTTGCACTTGGTCTTGTTAAGTCACATCAGATTCCCACATGCCCATTTCTTGAGCTTGTCCAGGTCCCTCTGGATGGCATCCCACTCCTCAGGCATGTCAACAGTGCCACACGGGCAGGTGTGCTCTGCAAATTTGCTGAAGGTGCATTCAATCCCTTCATCTATGTAATTTTTAAAGATATTAAATAACACTGGTCCCAGTAGAGACCCCAATGGTCACCACTTGTCCCTGATGTCCATTGGGACTCTGGGCCATTGACCACTACCCTCTGGATGTGACCATCCAACCACTTAATTATCCATCTAACAGTCTGCTCATCAAATCCATCTATCTCTAATTTAGAGAGAAGAATGTTGTGGGGACCATGTCAAAGGCTTTACAGAAGTCAATATAAAGGGCATTTTAGCCCTTCCTTTGTCCACTGCTGTAGAAGCCCACTGCAGAAGGCCACTGACTGGCTTGGTCAGACAGGACTTGCCTGTGCTGGCTGTCCTGAATCAAGTCCCTGTCCTCTGTGTGTGTATGTGTGATCCTTCCCCCAGGTATTCTCAGCCTCATGGTATCTTCAGCTTAGGGATTTCCTGGTTATGGTTTCTACCTCTATAATAACCATCAAGAGATGTCTCCTTCAGGTGTTTGTTCAGTCAACCTTTGATTCCCATGTAAATTTTTCACATCTTCCACAGTTCATCTGTGACTTTGGCAGCAAGTTCCTGCTGATTTACTGCCCAACCACTGCTATCATGTTGCTTTGTTTTATGTTTATTTATCAGCTCTAAATTATGCCCCTTTGTCCTTGTGTTGGAAGTGACACCAGATAGCTATCTGCTTCCCCCAGACCATTTCTCTGGCCTATCATTTCCTTCAGGTGATTTTTTATCCAGCTGAAAAGTGCTGCTATAACCACTTGTTGCTCATCCAGAAACCATCCTGGACACTTAACTACCATTGCTGACCTGAAGTTTTGCAGTTCAATAGTATCTTTGCTAACATGAGAGGACCATAAGTTCACTGTTAAGTAACTCATTCTTAAACCCCTTTTTTTAGCATCTCTTGCATGTACTGAAATGTGTTGTCCATGCCCTAATGGAGGACAGCCACATGAAGATATACTATTTTATTTAATGGCCAAGATTTTGATCCCTGCAAAATACCCTGTCTTTCATGTGCCAGAGATAAGGTCCCAGCTTGTCCCATCACGAACAGGCCAAATGCAGGAGAAAGAAAAAAGTAAACAAACAACAGGGAAGCAATGTAACATGAAGCTTTTCAGTGGATAGTTTTTAGGAGGGGTCACAGATATGTGTGGCTTAAGGGGTTATCATACTAGCCAAATAGGAGGTAATATATTGTCATCACCCCACAATCTGTCTTTTTTAAGTAGTTCCAGGAACCAATTAATAACAAATAGTTTGTTTTAAAAGATGAAAAGTATTCCAAAATAATATAAAGTTCAACTTTATATTATTATTATTAATATTATGTGCATTTCTTTTGTAATAATGTCCTTTTTGATCTCTTCTGCCACTGTGTTCTAACAACACCATCAGCAACTTTTGAGATGCTTTGCATGCTCTGGTCCTTTTTATTTCCAACTATAAAAGGGCGATGTTTATTTTTAAAAAACAGGAAACTGTTCATAACTTCAGTTTTAAAAGTGTCCTGAACATACTTGTATTCATATGATTTTAAATAATCTATGTATCATCACCTACCTTTCTGTATCTATTAATTTTATTTAATATAATTTAAATAAAAATTATGTTTTGATCCCCAGTGAACATAATTTCAGCGAGGAGTATAATGAACTTTTGGAAACTTCTCTTAATTTTACATTGTATATCTCAATGCATTTTAAAAAACTGATTTTTTTTTTTTTTTTTAATTCTAATTGTTCTGTGAGTTCCTATTTTGTAAGCTATATATGAGTCAGTTTGTTTTCAAATTGTGGTCTGAATTAACATGGAGCCTGAGAAGGAATAACACAAATGCATTTTGGCTACCTCACTATCATGGGTTTGTCTGTCAGGACTAATCTAACAGGACATGGTATTCACATGGAATTGACCTAGAAAACAGTATTCCTATTGTGGACCCATTTAAAATTTCAGTCACAGCTTTTGGAATTAAGGTGTATCTTGGCTAAGAAAACTAGAAATCATCAGTTGCTCTATCATTGTGCAGCCTGGAGAGAAAGCAAGATATTAAAATAAATGAATTCACAGTGCAAGAAAAAATTAAATGTATTTTAAAATACGTATTTGAAAGCTGGAAGCTTTTCCTGTGCGATAACTGTGGGAAAAAAATTATCTAGCAAAACTGTCAGTGAGAATCAGCTGAAACCTGGAAAGTGCTCAAAAGCTTTCAGCAAACTTCACTTGCAATTTGCCTGGAGGAAGCAGAACCTGACAGGCATCCAGCAAGGTTGCGCCGGCAGCCGCCTGTGCCCGCACTGCAGCTCGCTGCTGTCCCTGCTCCAGCATCTGCTGGTGAAACGAAGGCTGACAAATATGTTCACTTGTGGTCTCTCATGTGGTGCATCTGTCCAAACAATGGGCAGCACTCTGGTAAGGCGCCCTGGTAAGATTTTTTAGGCTCTGGTATCCTGTGGTGATGGAGACCAGGGCACCCGGTGCCATGGGCTGGAGCCCGGAACCGGCTGTGATCTCCCACTGCAGCCACAGCTGCTGGTGCTCCTGCAGGGTTGGGCTGCACCGCAGGGCTGCATGAAGGAAGGACATGGCACAGGGGGGATTTCCATAAATGCACAAAGAGTTGGGGTTGAGTAGTGACTGAGGAGGACGAAGCTTTATTGCTCAAGGTTTGCAATCATCTTTTTTGGGTGGCTCAGCCAGGTTGCCAGGCTACTCCAGTCCAGATGGATGAGGATCAAAGGATGACTGGGCTCCCTACTGGTAAACCTGTGCCTAAAGTTAGGTGGTGTGAAAAGGCCTCTTCAGAAATGTTTGAGCCTGCCAACATTTGCATTTTATTTGCATTTGGAGGGATTACGTAAATGAGTAAAATTATACAAATGCTTAAGGATTGGCATGGGGAGGGTCTTAAGTAATCATGGAGTATTCTGATTATTATTTATTAGCCCCCAAACCCAAGTTTTGGCAGGCACAGATTTTAGTGCCTGATTAATTAGTTTGCTGCCACCTTATATGGAAATTCCATTCGTGATCATAATCATAACGCCTCAATCTTTTATAGCATTTCTTGCAGATGTTTCTCAAAGCCTGTTAAAAAAGAAAGTCGTGGCCACAGTGACAATTTCAATCATAGCAAAACCTTTGCAGAGAG